TGTACGTGCGTGATTCGCGACGTGTGCATAGTTGAGAGACTCGAGTCCGAATCGTATGACTCGCGTACAACTACTCGGCTGGTTCTGGAGGGGGGGGGGGACCGCTGATATCCTCCTCTGGATGCGTGCCCACCTCTCTCATGGTCAGCGCCTCGACGACTATTTAGCGGGGTCATGTAGGGGGAGATATCAACTACTCGGTCATGTCATCAGAGAGGAAAATGAATAGATAGATTGAATTGTGAATGATTCAGTTTTCTCAGATTCTGGGATCAAAGATCGAATGTTTATTAGCAAAACGATCAGAGTAGGAAAGACGTGATAACGACTGCGGAGAGGAAAAAGATTGATATCCAAATTTCAAGTTGATAAATGGAACAAACATTCATTGTTATCGGTGTCAGGATTTAAAGATGCATCAAGTGTATAATCTCTGCAAAAAGTGACTGTAAAAAATTACTGGAATCGGAAATTTATCCATTTTTTCCGTATAAGAATGAATGTCGTAAACATATGAAATGATTCAACATTTATATTTAACGATACAATTTTGTAGTTTAAATGACAATTTTTTAAATTTTATTTGAATTACTTCTTAAGAACATATCTTCTTATTGAAATAATTTTTTATTCAGATTTTAAATCGCAGCTTAAATTTTTTGTATTACTTTCAAGTACAAGATAGAAAAATTTTTAATTTTTTAATTTTATTCAAAAGAAAAGTACGTGTGATACACATACTTTATTCGTAAATTAATTACAAAAAGATTCTACTTTTCTATTCTTGCATAATTAATTAAGTTGAGATTTTATTTTACGATTTTCTGTTGCAAATGAAAACTTAAAATATCTAGAATTTTGCACTTTGTATATTTGATTGAGAATGATATCGCATCACTGTTAACACCAATGATTGACCAACTTTTAATGTAGGCTGTTGATAGCCTCGCATTTTCTTCTTGACACAAGGTCGCTTTCTCAAGTCTGAAGTTCCGAAGCGATTTATCCATCGTTAAAATAGCATTGATATCTGCTTATCTGTCTATAAATCTAGTGGAAAGTATAATTAAAAGAGATTTTATTAGATACACACACACAGAATTTTCAGATGTGATTGAGCAACGAATGTTTCTAAGACCACTTGATTATCAAGCATGAGATTTCTTTCAAATTATTATTAAAAGTTAAATACAATACTTCGCTTATACTTAATGATACTCTAAATTATTATTGTACAGTATATATGTATGTATACAGTACAATAATCAGAATTTATACAGTTGCTTATACAGTTTCATCTTACATATAGACAAATGAAACATTGGTTTTCGCCTGTTCAGTAGCAACCATATCTACTGCGGTGACTTTAAGCTTGCACAAAGCGAGCGTCAACTTCTATTTTACTGAATGTAAAATACAGCCGTAGATGGTACGGCGACAAGCCATGAAGCTGTATTGTTTATGTTTTAATTACTTTTTATTTTATTTTATCAAAAAACGTTATTTTAATTTTATTCTAATAGTCTTTATAAAAAGCAATAAAAATCTATTTTAAAATATGTAAAGATTAGACTATTAGATTAGTTTATTTACAATATTATTTATATCATTAATAGTATGTTATCTCTGATTTATTCTTATAAATAGGATATTTTTCAAAATAATGTTTATAAAGAAGAAAATTTTGAAATAAAAAAAGTTATAATATACTTTAAACTTTCGAGAAAAAAAGCTAAAGATAAAATGATTTTTTAGCTTCAACAGTGTTAAATATTAAAGAAGCAATGTTAAATAATATTATCTTATTTTTAACTTCTATATATATTAAAATCGATCTATTTCTGTGGTTAGTTTTTAACAATTTGTAATTGTTTAATAGACTTTCATATCATACTTTATGTCTCTCTCTGTTAACATGTAGTCTTTTCATATAGCTTTGCAATAAATTAAATTAAATTAAATTAAATTAAATATCCATATTGCTTTATGCATTTATAATTAGTAAATAATAAATTAAATTTGAATAATTAATAATTATTTTTTTTTTAATTGTTTAACACTATCGTTTTAGTCAAATTAACAACATATTGGATAGGAGCAGTGATGACTTATACAAATAATTAAAAATAAGTAAAATTGAATATTAAGAAATTTTACATTGTATGAATTTAACAGTAAACTTAAATTGAACATTCAATTATCAATTTTTCTATGCAATTTTTTTATTCATTTTGTAAGTCTAACACAATGATTTATTTATAATAATTACATTTAACAACAATACATTTATAGAATACACAACATCTTGTGCAAATAATTTTTTTATTGTTTAACGAAATTAATAAAAGCCATCTGAAAGCTCATAAAAATCTATATGAATTGTAAACCCGTATATTAAAAAAAGTAACAAAATTCCGACCGATCTTAGGTGTTTTTCTCATTTGGCTCACACTCCAGTTAGCGAAAGTTCCATTTCCTTTCACTGCGATTCCTTTTATGCGATAAACATTGATTATCGCGTAATACCCTTGTCTATATGTGAACTTGCAGCCACGCACGCTACCATACGCTGCTGGGATCATTGGGCCAAGGACCAAGCCTGGCGGTTGTCTATGGATTCAATTCCCACGGAAAACCGGGTAACGGATGCTTAAGACGCCGGTGTCATTACCCTAAGGTTAAGTGATAGGTACTATTGAGCGTAACCTTTGCCTTCTTCGCACTTGAAGAGAGAAAATATCCGCGCGCTCGGAAAATAAACTGCACGATTGGAATTTCAGTGATTTATCGCGTTTAAATTTACGTCAGTCAGTCACGACAACATAATCATTGATTGCATAACAAAATCGCTGTAATGTTGTTGGAAATTCTTAAACCCTTCAATGTCACTTTGGATATGGCAAACCTGGCTTTTCTTTCCAATTTTTTTTTTAAATTTCCTATATTTTATTGCTTAGCTTTTTTAGTAATTAAGATACATTATACATACATATATTTACTGTTCTTTAACGTCTGGCATTTTAATAAAAAATTTTTTTCAATATGTTCAATTATATAATAGAAGTTATAAGCAAATTAATTAAATTGGATATGCTATACTCAAGTGTATCATTCTCATGATATAACATGAAGGATTAAGAATGTTGAACGGTAAAGTAAAAAATGTATTTGCCTTATTCAATTTGCATACAAGACCAATTCAAATTTTTGGAATTTTTCACAGCATATAAGAAGCCCGTGCCTTTTACGAATGGAACATCGCGCGCGTTCGTTTGCATTTGACATTAAAGCCCACGTAGAATATTTCTGTAATTTCCTGTCGAATCTCTATAGTCATTGTCTAGGCTCGCGAACGCGCCCATCTCTCTGACGCCGCGATTTATCAAAAAATAGAGATTTCTATTCCGAGACCGATTTTACGTCTCATTTATGTGATAATAAAGATTGTCTCGACATTTCCGTGAGGCGCAATACAATACTTATGTCACATAACATAAAAAAAACACTCTAATGTTTTTTTTCGTATTTCAACGTGATATGTTTTTCAATTGCTTCATGAAGATCTTTCCTGCGAAATCTACAGACATAACAAAACCGATACGAATGGTTTTTCGACCCGCTACGCTAGTTTCTAAAATGGTAAATTATTATTCCGAAGAATAAAATCTCACTTTTAAAGATTGAAAATTGGACCAGTCTTTTTTAAAATTAGCTCAATTTTTATTTTTTAAACTGAGATTCTATGTACTTTAAAGAATTTCGAGAGTATATGTGGCTGTCTCAATAAGTAAAACAGTTAAAAAATCCTTTGTCATTCGCTGATCCGTACAAATCATCTTAAGTTAAATTTAATGCATAATTAAAAAGTAGAGGAATTAGAAAGAATAACAAATTTCAATTTATTTTTTCAATTTATACACTTCAATTTATACATATTAGGTGTTGGAATTAATTCGTAGCGTTTTTTAATGAAAGAATGTTATTTATTTCACATGAGCATTAAAAAATACATTAATGAAAGTACTTCCCATCACTTGTAAAACGCTACGAATTAATTCCAACACCTAATAGATTAAAATTTGTTATTTCTATTGCCTGTACTTTTCAATTATGCATTTGGTTTTATCCGATAGATTAATTTATCTTATCTCAGGAACGAAACGTTTACCCTCATAATTCCCTCCCCCCTCTCTCTCTCTCTTTCTCTCGTCTCTTTGATTATGCTCTTTATTTTTTTTTCTGTTTGTATCATATCTTTTATTGTCGCTTTTTAATTTTATTTTCTTTATTATTTTTTTTATTTATATTATTATTTTCCTTATATATTCTATATTATTTTCTTTGTACATTTTCTCTCAGTTACTCCTGTATTGTTCTTGGAAAGCTTGCTCTAGAACATATACAGAGTACCTAGAATAGTAATAAACACCTTATTTCTCTGTCTTTTTCTCTTTCTCTCGACTTCATTCAATCATTCTCTTTTTATCCCTTTTTTTCTTTCTCCCTCAAGTGATGGTTCCGCGAGATCGTATCGAGCCGCTGGCGGCAATCGAAAAGGAGAAGTCGCCGAGTTCTCGAGTTCGAGTCTGCAGGTTGCGCAAGGCGGTCGCCTCATATATGTCATTACGTAAAGGCGAAAACTGCAAGCCGTATGGACCGTCGACCGAACTGTCGTTGCGGCCGAGGAGGAAAATCTCCAGGTCGGAGCGTAATTGCACGCGTATATATAGACGGACGCGCGTTACGCCGCGCTGGTGTCTGCGGGTGGTCCCTCCGTAAGTTTCCCGCAGGGAAAGCGCGTAGGGGGTGACCACACGCCGTATCATGGCGATGACACCCATGCATCCAAGAGGGTGTCACCGTCATAAGGTATGCTCCCGATTTTATGAATTCTTAGAGGGAGCAATGCGGACGGTCGAGCCGAAATAAACTTTCCCGGGTTATGTAAAAGCTAGCGTCTCCACATCGTGGACTGCGCCAGTATAAAGGTCGGCTCTGCCCCCAACGGTCCAAGAGTTGCTCGCGAACTTCACGCCGGCAACCATCGAGAGAGACGAGCTCTACATGTGACCGCTTGCTCGTGGTGCTCAATTATCTTTTTCTTGTCATCTATTCCGCTTAAACGCGCTACACTCATTGAGTGAAGGCTCAGGACGCTTCTCATTTTTTTTTTTTGACCACACGTACTACAATCGTATAAACGCGCTATCATCATCGAGCAGACAACATGCGTATCCTGGTAAGTCTGCTCTTCTTCGAAGTCTTTCTGGGATCTTGCATGAAATAGATTCTAGCTATCCCTTGATGTGATAATTTTATAATCTCATAATATTAATATTATTAATAATATTAATAATACAATAATTATTATTAATATTAATAATATTATATAATAATTATAATTTAGATTAAAACGCGATAAATCTCGCGTAATTCGTTTTCGACAATTAAATTTTGGATTTTATCATAATGCAGTTTGTTCAATTTGCGATAAATATAGCGGGCAAAAAATAAACAGAAAAATCAATATTAAGAAATAGTCAATATTAAAAAAAGAGAAATATTTGTCAATATTTGTTTCTTCTCTCTGCCAAATATGAATGATACAGTTTGTGGTCGTACCAATGATCGAAACTGAGAAAAAGATATAATAATATTTTTGCTTAACGAATGCATGAAACTAATATAACGTATGCATGAATATAAGTTGTAATTTTAAAGGTACTCTTTCGAAGAAAAAGCTTTTATGTGTAACACACAGATGAAGTATGATGTGCCACTGCATTTTTGTAATTTTACGAGACTTTACGTATCTAGGTCACGGAAAAATACACATAAATTGCATATGGATATGAAATAAATAAATATATATACACACATACACAATATTTCACATTTAAGCCTTCGTGTATATATATATATATATATATATATATATATATATATGTAACATTAATCGTTACATTAAACTTTGACATAGATTACCTCGTATTCATTTTGCCATCACTAATCTATACGTTTCAAATTGGCACTATTAAACAATGCATTTTATTTATTTTGTTTAAAAGCCGTTTATTTATGTCGGTCTATTTTTGTTATTTTATCGTACAGCTACGATAAATTTTCCGATTAAAAAAACGCATCGATAAAAATGCGCGCAATAATTTCTCCTTGCGACAGTCTTTCGCAGAAAAAATGGAGAACACGTTCAATTTTCACATATATTTCCGCATTAGTCACACTCCATGCATTTAATTTCCATAACAATAAACACGTCCAATCATTGAATTCTCTAAATCGCGAAGTCAAAGTTGATCGCCCGTACATATTTATGAACAGCCATGTGTGATTTAATGTTATGTGCGTATATGGTAGGGTTATTCATCATCGTATGAAAGTTACGCGGCGCGAAACATCCATTACGACGTTGCATAATCTATTTAAATTACATAACTCATTAAATCTGTAAAGCTCACATACTGGTCACACAATATTGTTGCGCGCGTCTTGCATCGATGATGACTAACGCAGACCATGACGAACGAGTCGTCAATTTGCATATACTTGTGTATTTTCTAATTGTCCACTTTCTCTGTAGAAAGCATAAGTTGGCTAACTAATCCGAGACATCTGTTCGATACCTGCTGGCGATATTATTGTTAATATATGATGTATTACCACTAAATCTGGTCAGTTTCCTATATGAATTGATTATATATTATTGTATATGAATTGATTCTATATTAATGTATAAAAGCGTCTTGAGTAAATGAAAATTGTGATAAAATGTCAAAAAAAGTACAAAAAACAAAAAATACTAAAATATAAACTAAGAAATTTTTTTAATATTAAAAAAAATTATTTAGAAAAATGTTCACATAACAAAGACTTTAATGTAATATATTATTGTTATTTGACAAATTTTTAATTGAATTTAAATTATAATAACATTATTAATATTGATAATAATTATTATATTATTAATAATATTAATATTATGAGATTATGAGTCATCGTATCAAGGGAATGTATTCATTTATATTGAACGTAGTTGTTCACGTTGTACAGTGAATGGTAGTTGTATGACGGGAACTCTAAACCGGCACAAAACGAATCGGTCTCGGTCATCGGATGTTAATCGAAGACTGCGACTATGGGAAAAAGCTACGTTCGATCGTGGGTAACGTAATACGACATCATTAGCACACAAGGTACCCTCTTGTTCCCCTTACCGATTGCAATCGTGACCTACCTACCAATACATTTATCTTGTCCTGACCTTTCGCAGAGAAAGGTATCTTCGATGGCTTTACGAACATGAGGATTAAAGCACTTTGTGTGTAGACGTGCATTGATATTCTACACTCCCGTCGTATACTAACACCGCAAGTATCTCCTCAAGATAGACATAGCATGTCCCGATCTTTCTTAATTGCGCTGATCTTTCGTTTAACTCGAATGACATCATTTCAATTATGATTAACCCATTCGCGAATTTAAAATATTCACAAAATAATGCAAGCCATGTTTATCAATTATTTGCAGTCTTTACACTTTCAAGAAAAATCTACATAAAAGTGAATTTAATGCGATCGTAAATGCTCGTCACGGAAAGTCAGCGTGTTTAGCACTCGACAGTGATGAGCGCGAGTCCTTTGCTGAGAAGGACGCCCGGTATCGCCTCATCCTGAAAACAACATCATGTCCGTTATTCATTTACAATGATGATGTAATTAACTCAGCGATAATATTTATAGCGCATCCGAGGAATCATTAATCAAATAGAATCATCATTTTTGCGGAGAAGCTTTATAGTTTTTGAATTGTGCGAATCTTAGTTTTGAAATATCGTGAGTCTAACAGAACGGAGCGGATATAAACTGATGCAAATTAAAAAAAATTTGTTAAATAAATTTATTCTATTTTTACAATAAATAATTTAAGAAATAAAATCACCGTGAATCACCAAGAAACTATAAAAAGCCATTGAATGTATAATTTGCAAATTAATCTTTTATTTTACGAGTTAGTCTTCAGACATTATAAATTTTAACAAAAGTAATTAATGCTGCAATTTTAAAATTCGCAAAGATATATCTTCGATTTATTCCTGCATTTCTTTCCTTTGAAATAATAGGCCTAATTAAATAATGATCATCCTTTTCTTTTTTTTAATACCTAATCTTACAAATATTTTTTAAAGATATTAAAGTATATGTAAGAATCACTTAATAATAATTTCTGTAAAAGTGACAAAAATTAGCCCGGATACCAACGATCCATTGTGTAAAAGAGGAAAATTATCGAATATATTAAGAGTTAATGTAAATTATTGATAAACAATCTCTCAGAAGTACTAGTATAAGAAAAACAGATAATAATTCCATTTCTTCGTTTCAGTTGGTAGCGGCCCTTTTCGGGCTCGTTCACAGCCAATACTTCCAGGAACCGAAAAAGATCGTAAGCTACTCACATGATCTCGGTGATACCCGCGGTCATTATTCATTCTCTTACGAGACCGAGGGCGGCATACTTCAACGAGAGAGTGGCAGCCGCAAATATGCCGGCACTTCCGACGAGACGCAACTCATTCAGGGCTCCGTGCAATACAACGCGCCGGACGGTACTCCCATCGCCATGAGCTGGACCGCCGATGAATTCGGCACCCAGGTATCCGGCAGTCACATCCCCACCCCGCCACCGATCCCGCCGGCGATTCAGCGTGCCCTTGAATGGATCGCCAAGCAGCCTACGACCCCGGAACCGATAGAGAAGAACAATCCAACGCAAAACGCGGTTCCTCGCAGCGACAATCGTCAATTTCGATTATCCTCAAATAAACGAAACTGAATGCGTGTGCTTGCACAAAGTACCGTTAAGTTCATCTAAAATTTTCTATCCTTCCTGTTGCTTCACATAGATAATACGCTTCCAATAAAAATTTGTACTTTTATAGAAATTTTCGTGGGTTATGTTGTCGGTGGAGACAGATTTTATCTATCGGTGAAAATTTATCCTTCCTCTACATTCCCGTACTAATTAAGGAGTGGTTCTATCAATAATAGTGACTCATTCTCATAGTTGCTTTCTTGTAGTTTGCGCATGATCTCATAATCAGGTTATAAAATTTCGATATATAAAGAGATAAATCTCTTCTTTTTGTTATACATGTGGTATAGCATATTTGCCGTTGTCATCTAGAATTGAAGTGAATGATCTACATCTGAGATGTAACATTCAAGCGTGTATAAACAATAAGTGAGTATACACTGAGATTACTTGATAAGTGTGCTTCATTTTTTACACGTACCTGCCTTTTCTCAAAATGTTAAGTTTCGACGAACAAAGAACTTCGCTCATTTTGGGCTCCTTGCGTAGAATTGTATTTCAGTTTGTAGATAATAATAATAGAAGTATAAAATTAAAAATTAAAAATTAAATAGTTTTAAATTCTTAAACCCGCGCGTACGGAAAGTAGTTTTAATATTTTAAACTTTAAAGATATCGCGTCTTACTTGCCCGGTTGCTCATCATCAAAGTTGTCAAGGCTGATAAATATGTATCATTTACATCTTTAAAAGATATCCGTACGTCTTCAAGATATTCGGCATCTTAGATACTAAGTGAATGATGTGAGGACAGCAATTTACAGTAAGGGCACCATACTTACGTATGCAGTAGAGGAGAAGGTAGTATTATGGTCAGTGTATATATTGTAGTCTCCCTTAATATCCCCGCTATTATATAGCTAATCTTAATGATTACTTATGGAATTATTTGTTCAGTAACTGTTTGACACTAATATACCAATACTCAATAGTCAACACTTATTATAATATATTTTTACGTTCAAGTATTTTAAAACGTTTCTGAGGTACATTTTAGCATTTAATTACATCTATTTTCACATTTTTTATAAACTTAAGTGTATTATTATATGAATATATGTATTTTTGAGTGCATTATTTGCTGTGATATTTAACATTTTATTTGACTGTATATATTTTGATTTATACAAATTTAAACAATAGCATAGCATTTGCTGATATGGCCCTCTATGAATTAATTACTCAGGAGTTCTTTTTAGAGATTTTCATATCAAAATAATTATTTGATAATCAATTGTAGCTCTACTATTAGTCTATAATTTATACTACGTGTATTATTTTTAGTATTGAGATTTTTAGTACTGAGCAGCTTATATGCAGAAATTATGTGAATGTATATATATATATATACATATATTTTAAAATGTTTTATTTTTTTGTTAATTTTGTAACCTAATACTGTTTTCTAAACAAATCTAATATTTTAAAACTATTTTTATGGAAGGCTACATTACCATCTATTTTTTTCTTCGAGTTATTATACAATGCCACATTTTTATTAATAGTACCATAATAAGTAATAAATATTTCGTATCTTTGAATTCAGAATCGATTCGACAACATCTTAACGAATGTAATTGTCAAATTTTAAATTTAAATATTGATTATTAACAAAGTTATTATGTAAAATGTAACTGGAGTACCATAATACCATCTTCTCCTCTGACAGTGTCTTTTCTTTCACCACATTCTCTTACAACGTAAACATGGTATCGTATTTTATTTATATGTCTAGATTATATCCTAGCACCGAAAGATTTGCAGCATTTGCTTCTTACCGCAGTCACCACGAGGATGGGTTCTTGACACAGAAATAAATCTTGTGGGACGAAGAGATATGGATAAAAAAAGAATCTACAATAGATGTATGTTTATTTATATAGTAGAATCAGTTGATTGAAAGCATATATATATCATATATTATATTCTGCAAGCGTAACTAGCAAAATAATGTACCTTATATGCTACATCGACAGGTGAGATTGTAACACTGATTTGCAACTGTTGTAGCAGTTGATACTTATGCAGTTTTAATCTATACTTTATGCTCTATAATCTAACGTATTATTCATCTCTGAAAGGCTTGAAGCTTTATATAAAATAGCACAGTTTTTTAGTCTGCAACTATATACATTATTTCTAAGTTATGCAATAAAAGCAATAAATAGGTTGCATTTATTCATTTTTTATATACGCATTATCATAATTCAATCATGTAAATTTTATCCTTGATCATTTAAATAATGAAACGACTTGCATCGTGCAAATTAACTTATTGCCATTTTTTCTATGATATTATACCTAACATTTTTATTTTGACATAACGTGAAATTTAAAATGTCAAAGGATGCAATTAATATTCACGATAGAGACGTTAATTATTGTCACTACTCATTATTGAGAGTTTGTTGTTTTGCGTTGTATCCCTATAAAGCAATGGACCATAAAAGAAGTTCTTAAAAAGAATTGCACAATGCACCTGCGCAAAGAAATTTTCGCACTGCTTTTTACTTTTCATAACTTTGTCCCAGCGTTTCACTAACGCTCTTCTCATTAAAAATATTCTTAAAAATATTGTTAATGTGATTGATGAACCGAGTATTGTTCATCTCTCCTCCGATAAATACCAACAAGACTTGCACTGCGATGAAATTTATTTACAGCATATCAAGATTATATTCATATACAAATATTATACAAAAAAATTTGTTCTAATTAACAGGCGCATATAAATACAAAAATAATCACGACGCGAAGAGCCGAGTCTGTTGCCAGTCAATGTTGGCACCGAATACTCGTCAATCCTCGTTACAATCACGATCGGTTTCACACTAGGCTTCTTCCAATCGTCTCGTCTCGTCGAAATTCGCCTTTGATTCATTAATTCTATCTTTCTTTCGTCATAGAGCCTTTTTCGGAATCCTTTAATGCTTCTCGTTCTGCTCGGGGTGTTCGGCGATGTACTGAAGAGCCTTTAGAATTTGAGGTGGCACTGGAGGCGCGGTCGGCAAGTGAGCACCCTCTGGCTGGAATCCATTCTCGTTGGCTATGTACGAGATTTGGTAAGTTTGACCATCGGCGTCAGTAAAGCTGAAGCTGCCATGTGCCTCCAGGGCTTCGTTGTCAGTACCAACGTTGTTAAGATGACCTTCCTCCTGGGCATGAATACCGTTACCAGTCTCGTAGTTGTAATTGTAGGATCCATCGGGATTGGGTCCATCCAAGGCTTGCTTGACGATGGGAATTGGGCTGATGTTGTCAACGGGAGCGGCGATTGCCACTGTCACGAGAGCACATAAAGCGGTTACCTAAAAAGGATAAAGAATCATGCAATGATGAAATAAAGAATCCTTCTGCCGTTATGGAAGAATATTATTGGACTCACAAAAAAATTGGAAATAATTGGAAAATCAAATCGAATATTGTACACTATTCGTTTTAGTAGTTTTTTTCATTAATCCAATTACAATTACTTTTCGATAAGATATATTATACATTTCGACTTTATTTTTGTGTTAGAATAAGGATTTTTTCTAAAAAGAGTATTGAAAGAACAAAGATATTATCAATATAATCTATTTTCATTTTAAATAGTGCACGATTTAAAAATACTTAACTTTATCTAAATAATTTATAATATCCGGTTATTATAATTACAATAACATATATTAATTCTACAATTGACACCTCGATTAGAGATTTTAATACTATTTTATGTTAGAAGAAAAATAAACGTTTTATAAAGTAAAAATATAGAAAATAAATGAATATTATACCATATATTTATTATATTAATTATAATGTTGTAAAATTTGTTATAAACGCTTATCCTTATTTACTGCTTAATTGAAAAATTTAAACTATATTATTTGTGAGCAATAAAAATTAAATAATTTAATTAATTTAATATAACAAAGATCCTCGATTACATATTTAAATTAAAAGAACTTTGCACTAATTAACTAAAATAAATATTTTAATTGATTTACAAAGGCACTCGAATTACAAAAATATTGCAAATTTGAAATCATGTCTATAAATAATTGTACTGCGTTACGTATTTTATTCGCACAAAAACTCAAACTCACCAATAGATTCATATTGAAAGAAAGATATTTTGTTTTCCAGCTACCACTCGGAAACTTGTCATGCACTGACTTAACATCTCTTGCACATCTTCCGCTTTATATATCCTCCAGCTGAACATTCGGGAACTTTCTGGTGATATCTTATTTAGCCCCCTCTATCCTCTGGGTCCTCTTGTTCATTCTCCCACTTGAATAAGTCGTAGCATACATCAAAATTTTGCGGATAAGTTGAAAGCGCGCGCGCAGCACGCACGCACGCACGCACGCACGCACGCACGCACGCACGCACGCACGCACGCACGCACGCACGCACACACGCACGCACACACACTTGTGACAGATCTGATCTTCTCGGGAAGATTTCGAACTTGAAGTTATTATCCTAAAATCGCAAAAAGTCGTCACCTCAATTTAGCAAAAAAGGTGAACTCGCTTAGAATAAAAACTAAATAATCCTGTTATTATGGAAAAAAATAGCGTACACTTTATCAGCTCCAAGCTAAAAATTATGAAACCCGCATAAATTGCCACATAAATTGCTATTCTAAATGTGCAATAATAAAGAACGATCAATACGAATAGTATCACACAAAGTATCATGATACATATAAATTTAAAAAAATATCAAAATAAAACACAATGTAAAACAGATTTGTCAAAAGATATTATTCTATAAAAAGAGATAGCAATCATATCATATAACTTGACTTTATTTTTATGTTAGTCGTATTTTTTAAAACCTATTGTATATAAAATGCATGTTGAGCATTTTTTTATATAATATCTCTATTATACTTGGAAAAGTGAATATATTATATTTTCTTTTTCGTAAAACTATTCATGTACATTCTTTTTTTTTTAATTTTTATGCATCTATTAGGTGTTGGAATTAATTCGTAGCGTTTTTTAATGAAAGAATGTTATTTATTTCACATGAGCATTAAAAAATACATTAATGAAAGTACTTCCCATCACTTGTAAAACGCTACGAATTAATTCCAACACCTAATATATACTGCCAATATATATCTATCTTAAGAAAGTATTTTTAGACGTATATACATATATTCATAATTTCATACATAATTTTAATAGTTAAATATAGCTAACTTTTTTTAATAAATATATCTGACTTTTTCTGGCTGAGGAATGAAATTACATTCACACAAAAAAAATCATAAAAAACTTCTAGCATTATATGTATATGTATACGAAGTCCTTTTGATAATTATTTATAACTATTAGTATTTATTTTTAAAATTTTCTAACAAAAATAAATTTTAGCTTAGCATTCTAATATAATACAAAATTAGAGATAATTTTAATTTATAATTTTAGGATATATTGGAAAAATGTTTAAAACAAATCGTTTTCCGCTTATTTTTAATTAATGTCAAAATAGAATTTCATAACAATATTTTTTTAAAAGCTCTAACGATTTTATGAGAGTAT